TGTATATTAAAGTAACCTTAGGCAATAAAGAAACTGTGGCATATATACACAATGGAATATTACTCAGCATTAAAAGAGAATAAAATCATGGCATTTGCAGGTAAATGGATGGAGTTGGAGCATATCAAGTGAAGTAAGCCAATTCCAAAAAAAACCAAATGTTTTCTCTGATAAGTGGATGCTGATCCATAATGGGGGTGGGTGGGTGGGGGATCATGGGAAAAATGGAGGAACTTTGGATAGGGCAAAGGGGAGGGAGGGAATGGAGGGGGCATGGGGGTAGGAAAGAGGGTAGAATGAGATGGACATCATTACCCTAGGTACATGGATAAAGATACGAATGGTGTGACTCTACTTTGTGTACAGCCAGAGTAATGAAAAATTCTGCTCTATATATGTACTACGAATTGAAATGCATTCTGCTGTCAGGTGTGACAAACAAACAAATAAATAAAACCCTTAAATATAAAGTAACCTCAGACATTAGACATAAAGGAGATGAGCGTTTCCTCTTCAGGGACAGTCCACTTGTGGCTGGCACGGGACATCTGCTACTGAGGCACCATCTCCTTCTGTCTTGTTGCCCTGTGGTGCCTGAGATCACCATGTGGTCCAAATACTCCCCCTCTTTTCCTGTCACAATTACCTCTGCTCTGCCGTGTCACCTGAGGGTTGGGAGCCTGAGCCCAGGTGCCGTTCAGAACACAGGGACTTTCTTCTTCATCTGTGGGAGGGAAGATTCTTGCTGCAACTTGGTCAGTCTGTCAAATAACAGGATCTTTCCAACCACCGTTCCTAGGGCCGCCATCTGCCTCCTAAACCCTTTGCCTATTCTGTCTTTGAACTTTAGACCCAGAGGAGAGAAACAATGGCCCATCAAAGAACCCAAGGCCCTGGATTCCCACTCTGGGTCCAAGCATGGGCTTCACTGGTTTCTAAGGAGCCCAGGGACCTCTTTATTTCCTGGCAGGCAGGGATTGGGGGTACAGGTACAGGCATGCTTCATAAGATCTCTGTGTGTGTATAAGTGGTCTCCCACAGGCTTCCTGGGGCACCTTATCCTTCAGGTGAGGCAGGTGAGGGAAGAACCCTTATCCCCTACTTGAGGTGGCTTTGTCCCCATTCTACTACCTTGGGGTTTTGTTTGAGGTTGGGGAAGCATCACAGGAAGTGTCCTGGGCTTATAAAAAGATCCAGAGAAAACTCTGCTCCGACACATTGGCAGTCTGACCCCAGGCTGGGTGTGCTGGGTGTCCTTGTTGGCAGGGAGGGCCAGCTTGGCACAGTTCAGACCGTGACCCTCTCCCCACAGCTCCGGAGAGCTGGAACGCACCGCCCCTCTGCCCGTCGGGGGCTTCAGCTACCTTCAGGGATACACCAGTTTCCCTCTTAGCAACAAGACTGTGGGGCAGTGCCTTGATGCCACAGCACAGAGGTTCCCCGACCGAGAGGCCTTGGTTGTCCTCCATGAAAACGTCAGGCTGAACTTCGCCCAGCTCAAGGAAGAGGTGGGTCCTGACCTTGAACCCTCGAAGGGGGCAGGTGCCAGTCCCCAGGCTTCCCTGGGTGGGTGGAGCTGGAGGGTGGGACATGATGATGGGCAGTGTGGTGGCGTTGCCTGAGGACCTAAGGGACAGCAAGAGAAGCAGACGTAACTGAGGCAGAGAGGGTCTGTCTCAGCAGCTCCTGGAGCACTGTTAACCGTGTGTACCTCGAGCTCCACCCAGAGCTCCACTGAGGCGAATCTGCCTGTCCCTGTATTCCTTGTGATTCTGATGTGAACCCTTGGGCCAAGGGCTGAGGGTGAGAGTCATGGGCCCCTTCCTGCTTGCTCCCATCTCACCCTCTGTGATCCATCTGTTTGCACCAGGTAGATAAAGCTGCTTCTGGTCTTCTGAGCATTGGCCTCCGCAAGGGTGACCGGTTGGGCATGTGGGGACCCAACTCCTATGCATGGGTGCTCATGCAGTTGGCCACTGCCCAGGCAGGCATCATTCTGGTAAGGAGGTTTGCATGGTGCAGGGGGTATCTGTGGGGGGAATGCCACTCAAGAGGAGCCCACCTGCCTCTTGGCCCCAGAACCAAACCAGTGCCTGGCTGGTTTCAGATCGGGTAGTTCTGTCTCTTAAAGCCCACCACGTACACCGGGTGGTGTGCTACCTCGTGCCTTCTGAGAGTAGAGGGCCATCTGCAGGGTGGAGTGGCTGCCCAGGACAGACATTCCCTCCTTGTTCCCCCCAGGTGTCTGTGAACCCAGCCTACCAGGCTATGGAACTGGAGTATGTCCTCAAAAAGGTAGCTCAGGGCCCCTGCTGGTGCCTGGCTCAGGGGCCAGACCTGGCCATGCAGCAAGGGTGTCCCTCCCCCAGCTGTTTGTGGTTGGAAGGAGGACCCAAGCCTCTGGTGGTGGGCCAGACACAAGGCTGGCGTGTGTGTTGTTGGGGAGCACGTGTGTATCACAGTGGTCATGGGCCAGTGTGGCTCTGCGTGTGTGGCCCATGTCTCAGGGTGTGGTGTCTGGAGCTGGTTGTGTGTTTGCTGTGGAGTCGGGTGCATGCAGGTGCGGCCGGTGTGTGGGTCAGAGGATGGTGCTTGCGCACATCAGGGTAGTGATGCCCATGTGCAAAAGAGCAGATGATTAGTCTGGGGCTTCCTGCTGATCATAAGTTGGGGGGGTGCCCTTCCACAGGTGGGCTGCAAAGCCCTCGTATTCCCCAAGCAATTCAAGACCCAGCAATACTACAACATCTTGAAGCAGATCTGTCCAGAGCTTGAAAAGGCCCAGCCAGGGGCCTTAAAGAGTGAGAGGTAGGTGTATCCTGGATTTGGGGAGCACCATGAAGCATCCCTGACTCCTTTACCCTCCATCAAGCCCCAGGGGTGGGGCTGGCATCCCCTGGAGCAACCCCTAACTTACCCACAGCCCCTGCTTCTCACCATCCTCCCTATCCCCCAGTCTCCCAGATCTGACCACAGTCATCTCCGTGGACGACCCTTTGCCGGGGACCCTGCTGCTGGATGATGTGGTGGCGGCTGGTAGCACAGAGCAGCATCTGGCCCAGCTCCAACACACCCAGCAGTTCCTGTCCTGCCATGACCCCATAAACATCCAGTTCACCTCGGTAGGTCATAGAGGTCCCCAGGCCCCAAGCCCAGCTGACACATGCCCCCTCCCTCTGTGACCCATTCCCAGGGATGGGGAGACCACAGGAAGTCAGGAGAGCAGGCACTCTCCTGACACTGGCCTCTACCCTTCTGCTCTGCCTTGGAAAATCGCTGGTGTCCTTGTCACACGACCCTTTCCTGGCCCTCCTGCTCCCCAGTGTGGTACAGATGTACTGAGCCACTAGGGCTCAGAGTTTAAAGTTGGTAGAACCTGTCCCTCCTTTAGTGGAAGCAAATCTGAGGCCCAGAGAGAGAATTTGTCCCAGCCCCCATGGCTAGTGGGCTTCCTCACGTGAGTCACATGGGAGTGACATGAGCACTGAGTCCTTCTCGTTCGCATTTCTGGATCCCCACATCTGGCCCCTCGCCGCACGTGGTAGACCTTTGGTACATATACCAGAGAAGCAAATGGATCTGGGGCATCGATCCTGGGCAGTGGCCGAGGGTGGGAAGGAGATGGGGGAAAGCAGGCCAAGGTGTCACCTGCTTGTCTTCGTAGGGAACCACAGGCAGCCCCAAGGGGGCCACCCTCTCCCACTACAACATTGTGAACAACTCCAACATGATAGGCCAGCGCCTTAAAATGCAAATGAAGGTGAGATGGGTTTGGACTGGGGCAAGGTTTGGAGGCTGTGGGGAGGTGGGCAGAGCGGGACAGCTTGCTGGGCTCCCCCTGCTGGCTGGAGGAACTGGCTTCTGGGGCTTCTACTCCCATGATAGACTCAGCCTCATGTCTCCATCTTTAGCCACCAGAGGAGTTGCGGGTGGTCATGCCCTGCCCCCTGTACCACTGCCTGGGCTCCGTGGGGGGCACGATGGTGTGTTTGATGTACGGTGCCACTCTCCTTCTGTCCTCTCCGAGCTTCAATGGCAAGAAGGCGCTGGAGGCCATCACCAGAGAGAAGTGGGCACTGGTAGACAGGCTACCCATGGGCTGATGAGATTCTCCTAGTCCTTGCACCTGAGCCCTGACCTTTTCCAAAATGTCTCCTCCTTCTAGTCATAAGACCTGGGATGGGGTCGTGGGGGACTCCCAGGAGAAGACCAATTCCTGCCTTGAGCTTCTGCTTGTTCCCCACAGCTTTGGCTTTGGCCCTTAATGAGGTTCTGGTGGGGTGGGAAGAGGGAGTTCCTTTCGATTCCCAAGCCTAATTTGAAGACCCTCCCCTTACACAGAGGCTCCTCCATATTTGGCACCCCAACGATGTTCGTGGACATTATGAACCAGGCCGACTTCTCCAGTTACGACTTATCATCCTTATGTGGAGGTGGGGTAGGGCCAAGGATGGCCAGGCATGGGGACGGGGCTGCTTTCCCCCAGGACTGGCCTGGATGAGCCAGTCTTCTCTTTAGGGGGACAGGAAGGGCCCTGTGAAAACATGGGTGAGAGGGAGGCAAATCCCCAGTGTCCCTGGACACCAGGCGCAGGCCAGATGTTAGGTGTGGAAATAGGCCCAGGATCAGGGAAAGAAGGAAAGAAGGTCCAGGATCAACCAGCAGTAGGTAAAGGGGGTCCACTGATCTGGGAGAAGGGGGAGCTGTGTCAGCCTCGCTCTCTGATTCAGGTGTGATCGCCGGGTCCCCTGCACCTCCAGAGCTGGTCCGAGCCATCATCCACAAAATGAACATGAAGGAGCTGGTGGTGAGTGGCAGCCAGAGTCACTGGGGGTGAGGGGAGGGTGGGGGGAGGACTGAATGACAGGTCTGGGGATGAACTGAGGCCAGATCTCCAAAGGTGACCCCTAGGCCAGYTCTCTTTCCAGAAAGCAGAAATGAGAAAACACAGTCTGGCCTCTTCAGCACCTGATGAGGCATGGAGATAGGTGACCAGGGAGTAAATACTATATATCCATAAATTTATACTTATAGAAATCTGGGGCAGAAACGCAGCAGGGGAGGATGTGCAGCCAAGCACTGGTGTCCTGTGAGAGCGTCCTGGCAGGTGGGGCTGGCAGAGTTGGGGGAAGGGCTTGAGACCGTTTCTGGAAGCAGGGGGTGGGCTAAGGGTCTGATATTTGTTTCCAAATGGCAGGGAGAGAGGGAACAGAAGAAGGATGGTTCTGGGAGGGTGACCATCCTGATGATCACCCTGCTCTGATTCTGCTGGACTCGGGGGTGTTGACACCAGCTTCTCTGAGAGGAGCCACAACAGGGCCAGCCGTGATGGTTGAGAGGGGCTTTGGGTCCTCCCTTGCACTCTGTCAGGTGGAGCTGGGTTGGTGGTACAGTGCCCAGGGCCCTCTGCCAGGACGTGTGTCGCTGTGGGCAGCTCTGTGCATCAGCAGAGGCTGAGGGGAGGAGCGGGTGGTGGTGGGAAGGTCAGTAGTCTCTCCGGCAGAAGGCAGAGGCCAGTCACCAGGACTGGCTGAGTCAGGACCTGTGGTGAGGTGGGGATGGGTGTTAGGACTCCAACATCATAGACAATGTAAGAGAGGACAGTGGGAGTCCTGGGCACTATCTTTTCCTCCCAGAGGGGAACACCAGTTCTCCCCTCCTGCAGAGGTGGGGGAATCATGAGTGATACCAGCTCACTTGCTAGAATCTCCAAAGAGGAAAAAGGGGGACCGGCCTGCCCAGCCCCCACCTGTTTAATGGCGGCCTGCTTTCTTGGACCTCTTGGTGGGGAACTTGCAGCTGCGGAAGGCGTCTGTGTCACGGATGTGCTGGCCCTTGAACTTGGCGGGTGAGGCACAGGTGGCATCTGGACGAGAAGCCTTGGCTTCCAGCCATCTGGAGAAACAGAAAGTTGCTGGGGTTGGGGAAAGTGTGTGGGAATACTGAGGGGAAGGGACAGTGAGCTATAGGGCCAGGATGGACTTGACCTCTGGGTAGACTGGAGCTGTCATCCTCATTTTACAAATGAGGAAACTGAGGCTCCCAGGGTCCCGTGCTTACTAGCAAATCTGGAATGTGTGCCCAGGATAGCTAAATGCGGGACCAMATGAGGGGAGATTCTGTGGGTGACATGGGAACATTCTCACCGCCGAAGACCCCGAAGCTGGCAGGTACATTTCCAAGGGTTGTTGGTGAGGGTGAGGGTCTCCAGGTTGTCAAAAGGGAAGTTGGAGGGCAGCTGGTTCAGTCGATTATTCTCCAAATGGACATGTTTCAGCGTGGTCACACCGAGGAAGGCACCATCTGAGAACTAGGGAGGTAAGGTGGGCCGGAATGAGTGCTCTAGCCTATGTGCAGCCTTTCCCAGTTCTGTCCCCACAGAGGAGCAGGGTCTTCCCCTGGACACAGGCCTTGGTACCTTGAAGAGTTTTCAAAGCAGAGTGATCAAGTTATCTAGACGAGCTAATCCCCATGGCCCTTTTGAGATAGGAGGTGTTGTTTCTAACCAGCAGATGATAAAAAGGAAAAAAAAGTTCTGTCCCTTTAGCCAGAGTCACACTAGAGAGTAAATAGTAGCCCTAGGACCACACCCCACACCCCTCCCCTGGGCACCACACTGCCTGTGCAAATACTGGGCTGCTAAGGCAGCCAGAATTTGTCCCCAGGAGCTCAGACTGGCACACGGTGAACCTGGTCAGTGTTTGGCAGGGTAGGCAGAGGCCCAGGCTGCCCACAGCCCAGGGTCCTGGGACTTCCCCCAGCTTTATCCTCACTGCCTGCCAGACACTATTTGTGGAGCCACCTTGGTGAAAACATTGGCCAGTTGGACAGCTCCAGAGGAAATGTTCCATTGGTGCCCACATCTTGGCCCCAGGCGTGACTGTTTCTGTCTGGCTGCCCCTAACCCAAATCAGTCCCTGATATGCTGTTCTGCTGCCCACCAAAAGGCCACTCTGGCACTAGTGGCTCATAGAGGATCCCACCACCAGCGAGGGTGGGGTCTGAGCTACAGAAGGGCAAGCCCTGGCAGGCTCCATCCAATCAGGCAAAGTTTGGCTGCTGCCCAGGTGGATTCTGTCATCTTCTCCATGTCTGTGCCTTCTCCAACAGCCTAGGTTAGGGTGTGACATTCTCTAGTGACCAGACTGTCCTTCTACCTTGTCTTGGCTCCCACCCAAACCTCCTGTCTGAAGCCTCTGTCCCAGGGTGATTTTCCAGTCCCAAGGAAGAGATCTGGCATCCCAGGGGTAGAAGAACTAAGTGAGAATGCACACAGGAGATGGGTCTGGGGACTAGAATGGGCAAAAGGCAGCCAGCAGTCTGGGGGACAGTGAAGCACACACAGCCCAGGCTTTCCTGTGGGTTGTCTAGTGCAAAGGGCTGACAATGGAGTGCTTGCCTTTGCTCCTTCATATGGCTCTGCAGCCTAGGGAGTCTTTGGTCCCCATGTCTTGACTTCCCTACTTAGGTAGAATGAACCTGAAAATGTCATGGCGTGAGTGAGTAAGTGTGTGTGTGTGTGTGTGTGTATTGGTGGGGGTGGGGGCAGCACATCCACCAGGACCTCTGAGGGGTGTAGAGGTCTTCCTCAGGTATTTGCTCCCCCCTCACTCCCCAGCCCCCCAGTCCACCTTAGCACACAGGCCTTCCCCCACCAGGAACAGGGTCTCTTTGTGGGCCTGATTTGCCCAGAAACTCTGGAAGCCTTCTCAATAAACAAACCTTTCTTTATGGGATGGTAGGTTTACTGGAGACTGGGAAAAACAGCAGAGGAGGGGAGGAAGGCCCCACCGGAAGAGGTGGGCACTGCTCACAGTGGGGGTTTGGGAGCACTACAGAGGCTCCTAAGAGGCCATTTGTGGGGCCAGGGTAGCCCCTCTCCTCTTAGATGCAGGAGTCCTGGGAGGGCAGCCAGATAAGGATTAGGGTGGGGATGTGACAAGAAGAGGGAGAGGTGGCAGAGCTCCTTGCCTTGAGATAGCCAGAGGGACAGGGAATTTGAGGAGAGGGGATGGTGCCCGGCTGTGGTCCTAGCTCCCAGCCTTCAGGGGGAGAAGAAGGAGCCCGGCAGAGCTCTGCAGTCAAGCACTCACCTTCTCCAAATTGGTGTTGTCCAGCCAGAGGGTCTCCAGGTACCTGCCGAAAGACTGGAAGGCGTTTTCTGGGATGCTCTTCAGGGGATTGTGGGACAGCTTCAGCTCCTCCACCACCCGAAGCTTGCTCAGGGCGGCGGAGGGGTAGCTGGATAGCTGGTTCTTGTCCAGATGGAACTTGGCGAGGTTCTCTACATCGTCCAGAGCTCCTGGCTGCAGAGAACTGAGCGCATTTTCTGACAGGTAGAGCCAGCGCAGGTCCTTGGCGCCCTGGAAGGCGCCTGTGCGCAGCTCACGGATCTTATTATTGTTGAGCTGCAAAATAAAGAGGTTGACTAGAGGGGACAGCAGCCCGCGGGGCAGCTCGGTCACCTTGTTGTGGTCCAGGTAGAGGTAGGTGAGCTCAGTCAGGTCGTCGAAGGCGCCCGCACGCAGCACGCGGATGTCGTTGTGGGACAGGTACAGGTAGATGAGCTGCTTGAGGCCGCGGAAGGCGCCTGCGGCTACCTCGCGGATCTGACAGTGCTGCAGGTGCAGCGACACGAGGTTCGGCATGGCCCGAAACGAGTTAGCAGCCAACACCGGGAAGTTGTTGCGCTGTAGGTTGAGCAGCTTGGTCTTCTCTGACACCTTGGGGATCTTCTGCAATCCCACTTTGTCACAGATGACATGCTGCAGGTCTCCGTGGCAGTGGCAGTTCTGGGGGCAGGCGTCCAGCGCCTGCAGAAGGCTGGCCAGAATGCCGAGGCTGAGTAAGAGCATCGCGCGGGCCATGGCCAGGATGCCTGGAGCCGGGGCTAGGGTCAGCGACAGCCAGGTGCGGGCAGCGGCAAGTTCTGGGCGCTCGGGTCTCCCGCCCTATTTATACGGTGGCCCTGACCGCAGCCGGCGGCCTGAGCCAGCTACTACGTGGAGCATCGAGGCCACTGGACTTAACTCCCTCGCGCCCAGAGATGCTCTCCCCCGCCCTCCATGGCGAGAGGGCCAGAGGCCCTTCCCCCACCTGGCCACCATGCATGGGGGGCCAAGACCGTACCCCTCAGTCTGAGACCTTTGCTGCCTGCTCTCAGATGAGTTGCCCTTTCTTCCCCTACCTCCTTTCCCTGGGCTTTTTTTTTTTGGGGGGGGGAGGGCGATCATGGGTGTGTCTAGAGCCCCAAGTTTACACCGGAGAGGAGGCGTTCCCCGAACTTATTTGTTTGCTCAAATTTGAGTCTCCACGTCTCCCCCACCCAATGCACACTCGGCGGGGTGCCCTGAACCCGGGGAGAGAGGAAGCGGGGCCGGACAGCGGGAAGCGTCTCGCTGTGGTCTGCAAGCCGGCGGCGCTTTAATGGGACTCTTGTGCTGCGCCAGCCGAGCGTGAGAGCCCTTCTGGCGTCGGGCTCCCCCTTCTGGCTAGACACTCCAGAGCCGACCCTAAGGAGCTCCTTCATCCTTGGGCTCCTCCCTGACTCTTCTCTTCTAGTCCTAGGCTTGCGATTCTGACCCGCGCACCCACCCTTTTTCTAGGGCTGAAGTCTAAGCAGAGAAGTGGGAACTTGGGGGCGGAGGCGTGGGAAGTGACCCACAGAACTGGCAAAACATTCGGAGACCACAGGCCACGGGACAAACACAGTYGTACCATCCCCCTTCTAGATCTCCCCCAAAATATCCCCATCTCCCAGTGGTCAGGACCCACCCCGAGTGGCGCCGAGGTGTACTTGGCAGAGGCCACGCCTGGGCAGTGGCCCCAGGACTGTGAGGATGGATGAGGTGGGGTCAGGATCAGCCCTGGCCAGTTCAGGCGCCAGATGCACAAGGTTGTGGGCAGCCCTCCCCAGCTGGGTCAGGTCTCTGTGTGCCCACTTGCCAGCCACCGTGTCCGGATTCCTGTGGACAGGGGAGGGTGAGCAGGAAGGTCATAGCTCTGGTCCCAGGTAAGCTCTGGGCTGCCTGGCAGGAGTTATTGTCCATTTTGAGGGGTAAGGGAGGAACTAGATCCCAGCTGTGCCAGAGCCACACCAGCTGATACAGGGGGATGGGGGACCACAGGTAAAGATCTAGTAGAATACAGGGTAGTCTAGAACATTCTCTGATGGTATTTAGGCTGGCTTCTGATTTTTCTGATGCTCAGGATGTTCCAACCACTGAAAGAGCAGGGGTGGGGCTGGGGGTTGTGTGTGCCACAGGCGTTTTAAATCCCTGCTCTGATTGTATTTTATTTTGATGAAAGTAAATTTACAGGAAATTCTGCAGAGCTCTGGGGCACCCACCCCAAGGTCAGGCACTTGTCCCAGGTTTTGGGGGTGGGTTGCATCTGTGCCACTTCTAGCTGGCCAAGGTGGACTGGCTTTCTCATCAAGTTTATGGGGCGTTCGGTTTGGAAGGAAGGAATAGAGGATGTTGTGGCCTGAAATCAGGAAGGTGGGGCTAAGGCAGCATGTGGATGGGGGAAAGAAGTCTAGGATGTTGGTAATGCCAGGAGCCACAGACAGACATGTGACTGCTCTAAGGAAGCAGGACTGAGAGTCCTGGCTAGGACAGAATGGYTTCCCAGGTCTCAGTTTTATTTCAGATCTGGGACCCCTGCAGAGATCAATGTCTCTGCCCCCTTCCCGGGCCCCTATCAACCAATGATGTCTCAGTTCCTACTATTCACCTGCCCTGAGTAGCTCACCCATCCCTCTGTAATTGCTGAGCTCCCATCAAACCCCCTTTCTGGACCCTCTAGGTTGTTTATGGAACTACAGAGAACAGTCCTGTGACCTTCATGAACTTCCCTGAGGACACTCTGGAGCAGAAGGCAGAGAGTGTGGGCAGAGTTATGCCTCACACGGAGGTGAGCCCCCGACCAAGACCCTCAGACCTCAACTTCCACCACTCGGGGACATTTATTGCTTTCCATTAGAGGTCCCAACAGTTCCCAGAAGATGCTGAAAGCCCCTAGAAGCAGGATCTTTGCTGGGCCTGGCCAAGGCTCTCTGTGGGCTGAAAGGGGAAGAGCTGGGAGAGAGGCCCTGAGCAGCTGCCAGCTGCCTCCCTTCCTGTCTGAGGTGTGTTTTTGCCAAGCCCACTGTCTGCTTCAGGGCAGCCAGGGAAGCCTCAAAGAGGAGCCAGAGCACAGAGATTTTTCCTGCCTAGCTCTTTCTCCCCCGTTGACTCTTGCCTCTTGCTTTGGTGGAGTTGCTCTTCTGACTGGGTGTAGACGGTTTCCCAAGCAGCCTATCCCTCTGGGGGTCCCTTGCATCCCAGACACTGTCCGGAGCTCATCTCAATTTCAAAATCCCAGCCATGACTCCTTTGCCATACCAGTTTCTCTGTCCCTGTGGGGTTACTGTTAGGGGCTCCATGCAGCTGCTTCCCTTGGAACTCACCTCTCCTCTGGTGCATCTCCTCTCTCCTACCCTCCCAACTGGAGCAGTCCCATGGGAAGTGAGTATGCAGGAATATGAGCCCCTCCCATATCTGACAGCCTCACTGCCACCCCCATTGGGATACCCAACTGGAAGGTAGACTGGAATTGACATATTTATGCCCATATTTGGATGCACAAACCAAGACACACTGGCTGTGGCTCCTTTTTCTTTCTTTCTTTCTTTCTTCTTCTTCTTCTTTTTTTTTTTTTTTGGTATAGGGGATTGAACCCAGGAACTCTTAACCACTGAACCACATCCCCAGCCCTTTTTATTTTTTGAGACAAGGTCTTGCTAATTTACTTAGGGCCTCACTAAGGTGCTGAGGCTAGTCTTGGATTTTCCATCCTCCTGCCTCAGTCTCCTGAGTTGCTGGGATTGTAGACATGTGCCACCGCGCCTGGCTGTGTGTGGTTCCTTTTGTACTAGGCTTTCAGACTGCCCCTCCTGATCACATGGCACTGCCACACTACCCTCCTTGGCTTCTTTATTTGGTGCTTAACAGGAAGTCAGAGGAGACTCCCTTCCCTTCTGCAGTTTATAATTCTTTAGCTGGCCTGGCCCTCCACAAGCTTCCTTCCCTGCCTCCTCTTCCCTCAGCACCCCTGACCTTGGCCTTGACTGATCTTTCATGCCCAGCTCAGGTCTCTGACTGGTGATGAGTCTACTCTGGCCTCTCCCCCTTCCCTGGGCTGTGATGGGCAGAGCCAGGGGACTTCATTATTGGGTGAAGGGAGGCAAAGCTTTCCCCATCCCTGAGGGCTGCCAGTCCTGGAACGAGTGGGCAGGTGGCCCCAGCCTGAAGCTGACCTGTCCCAGGCCCGGATCGTGAACGTGAATACGGGGGAGCTGGCCGAGCTGAACATGCCCGGGGAGCTGTGCATCCGAGGGTACTGCGTCATGCAGGGATACTGGGGAGAGCCTCAGAAGACCTTTGAAGCAGTTGGGCAGGACAAGTGGTATCGAACAGGGTGAGAAGGCAGGGTGGGGGAGAGACTCCGGCTACTGAGGGRAGACTGTGGGTTCTGAGACTGAGCTGGAAACATTAGCACAAGGAGGATGTGGGTGTCTCATCCTGGAGACTTGACTTCCAAAATGTGTACAACGTGGGTAACCACACCTAGCACGGAGACAAGACACCAGAATAGTGTGCTGTAGCCATATTCCCAAAATTGGAGCCAAGATTGATTCAGTCACTCATTTGTTAGCTCAGCACATTCTTAGTACTCACCTCCTAGGGGCCAGCATTGTTCTTGTTGCTGTTGCCCCAATGGAGAGCAAGATAAAAAGGACCCTGCTTTTACTTCCCACTTGTCTGGAAGAGGAAGACAGATTATTTTGGACATCAAAAAATTAAATGGGATTCTATGCTGTGCACAATAGGAGAAAAGGTGGCTGTAATGGGGAGGGGAGCTTTCCTCAGAGTCGGTGGTCAGAGAAGGCCTCTGGAAACTTTTGATCTAAGACATGAATGATGAAACAGAAACCAGCCTTGAAAAGCAAATGCACAGATAGGGAAAGAGAAAGAGAAAATATGTGATAGGTATTGTACTAGTTTATTGTTCTCTGCCTTCCTACCTAGACTATAAGTTGCAGAGAATGTGTCTTATTCCTGCTGGGTCTTCTAGAACCGTGGGGGACATATAGCAGGTGCTCAATAAATGTTTGATGAATGAGTGAGCAAGGGAGCCAGTTAAAGCAGAGAACAGAGGGCATTCCTCGGCTTCACCTACAGAGACATCGCCTCCATGGACGAGCAGGGCTTCTGCAAGATCGTGGGTCGCTCTAAGGACATGATCATCCGGGGCGGTGAGAACATCTACCCAGCAGAACTTGAGGATTTCTTCCACACACACCCACAGGTGCAAGAAGTGCAGGTGAGGCACCCAGGCCAGGTGAGCCCAGGTGTGATCCAAGAAGCAAGAAACAAGCAGGAAAACAATGATGTCTGATATTTGTCTCTGACCTTGGAAGGTGGTGGGAGTGAAGGACCACCGGATGGGGGAGGAGATTTGTGCCTGCATCCGGCTAAAGAGTGGGGAGACCACCACTGAGGAGGAGATCAAAGCTTTCTGCAAAGGGAAGGTGGGAGCCTCAGCGTACTCCATCTCCCCGACCCCTGAGTGTTCCCTCACACACCTGTTCCTGCCAACCATCCAGGATTGGGGAATGCCCCGCCCTTACAGACATGACTCTTCAGCCAAGTGAACCCTCTTGCCCCAACCCTTGCCCTGTGACTTTGCCCAGCCTCTTGCTTTATCTTTCTGTTCTGCAGATCTCCCACTTCAAGATCCCCCGCTACATCGTCTTTGTCAGTGACTACCCCCTCACTGTCTCAGGAAAGGTGTGTGAAGTGGAGGTGGCCAGGGAGGGGCAGGGTGTCACGGGACTCCAGGTGGCCCAACCCATGCCTCTCTCAGTGGTGAGCAGAAGAGGCAGCATAGGGGGACTAACCTGTCATCTCATCCTGATTTGTCCCAGGCTTTCTCAATCTTAACACTAAAAGCTGACAAAGCCCTCAGTCCCAAGCAAACGGTTGTGGTTGCTCACCCTAACAGGCGGGGACCCCACCTGACTCTCACTCCTTTGTTTTCCCTCTAGATCCAGAAATACAAACTCCGAGAGCAGATGGAAAGACATCTGAAACTGTGAATCCWGGGGTGGAGGGTTCCAACCCGGCCGGCCTCCCGCCCCTCCCCCCAAGCCCCAGTCTTCTTTGTCATTTGGGCATAAAGAGCTCTATGTTTCCTGGTCTCTGGCTGGAGTACTCTCTCTGGATGGAGAGTGGATGGAGAAAGGAGGAGTCTCAAGAGAAACCAGCACTTTCAGACTGATTCCTCTGAATACTACTTTTTAAGTAGATGATCTGTTTAATCTAACCCTCACCCCATCCCTTTGAGATTGCAAACCCATTTTTTTTCTGTTTCTTCTTCTTCTTTTTGGTACTGGGGATTGAACCCAGGGATACTTTACAACCATCCTCAGCCCTTTTTATTTTGAGACAGGGTCTTCCTAAGTTACTAAATCGGGCTTGAATTTGTAATCCTCCTGCCTCAGCCTCCCAAATTGCTAGGATTATGGTGTGCACCACCATACCCGGCTTCCATTTTTTCTTTTGTAAGCTTTACTTGGTCCATCATTTTTCACATTGTTGCCAGAGAAGTCCAACAAGAAATGTTCTTTTTAAAAAAAAAATAAGAACATATGATATGTCAAGAGCTTTGTAATGTTTTGAACAACTAATAAAAAAAATAAAAAAATAAGAGCTTTATTGAGATATAATTCACATACTATCCAAAACATCCATTTAAAATGTAGTTTATCCAGTGGTTTTTTGTTTTGTTTTTTTGTTTGTTTGTTTTTTGTTTTTTGGTTTTTTTTGGCAAGGTGGTATTGGGGATTTAACTCAGGGGCACTGGACCACTGAGACATATCCTCAGCCCTATTTTGCATTTTATTTAGAGACAGGGTCTCACTGAGTTGCTTAGTGCCTTTTCTGAGGCTGGCTTTGAATTCTTGATCCTCCTGCCTCAGTCCCCTGAACCGCTGGGATTACAGGCATGCACCACCATGTCTGGCACCACTGGATTTCAATAAAGTCACAGATATGTGTAACCATCACCACCAAAGTCAATTTTGAATGTTGTTGTTACCTCAAAAAGAAACCYCATATCCTTTAACTATCACTCCTCCCATCCTTCCCAATCAACCCAGTAAAAATAAAGCAGGCTGTCATTTGACCCAAGAAATAAAAAACAGTTGGCTTCTACAAGGCACATAGGTACTGTTACTTAACCAGCCTGTTTTGCCTGCTGTGCAGTTTGCCAATCACTAACACCATGAGTTTTGCAAAAGAAAGTTTATTCATGAAGCAGCAAAGCATGAGGAGATGGGAGAACCAAGTCTCAGACCCACCTCCCACAGGGCAGGGCTTGGGGATATTTATGGGATAAAGTAGCAGGGCGATTTAAGGTTTGGAGCAGCGTGACTGGAGGTGATCAGTGGTTGGCACATCCCAAGTGTGATCACCCCCCCATACTGACGATTAAACTCAAAGGTGTTCTACCATTGAGCTACATCCCTACCCCTTTTCTTTTTCTATTTGGAGACAGGCTCTTGCTAAGTTGCTGAGGCTAGTCTCAAACTTGTGATCCTTCTGCTTCAGACTCCTGTGTCGGTGGGATTACTGGTGTGTGCCACCACACCTGACAATGTAACCAGACTTCATAGCTCTTCTTAGGACACATGTTTAGAAAATGGGGTCCCTTTAGCACCATCTGAGGATGGAGTTTTTGGCCCCTTGATGTCAAAATGTCACCAATTGGATACTTGCATAGGCCCAAGTGATGAATCATTGTTTTCAACCAATAGCCTTCAGGTCCCTGAAAAGTAACCTAGACAACTGTTATAATCATGACCCCCATGTCAGGGGTGTTATCTAGTGCAGAACTGGTGGGAGACTAATAATATATCACTCTACTGCAACCTCCAAAATTAGTGATTTGAAAAGTCAACTAAATCATGTAATGAAAAGCAAGTGAAGCTACAGGACTTATTGTTTTCCCTCCATTTCAGTTCCCGGTTCAGAGACAAACTTTTCTCCCGCCTGCAGCCCTCACCTCCTGGGATGTCTGTCTCCAGCAGCAGCAATTGCAGCTGTTTTACTTTTTAAGAAATGATCATGTATTTAGGATCCTCTGAGTGCCAGGCACTACACTAGATGTTTTCATGAACATTTTCTTTTGAAATCTTGCCAATGACTTTATCACATAGGCATTGGCCCAATTCACAAACACTGTCACTGAAACTCAAAGAGGTTCAGTGTCTTGCTCAAGGCCACACAGCTGGGATTAGGAGCCAGCTATCTTTTTTGGGACAGGTACCAGGGGTTGAACTCAGGGCACTTGGCCACTGAGACACATCCCCAGCCCCCCCCCCCCGCTTTTTTTTTGTATTTTCTTTAGAGACAGAGTCTCACTGTGTTGCTTAATGCCTCCCTTTTGGTATAGGATTTGAACACTTGATCCTTAGCCTCCTGAGCCACTGTGGTTACAGGTGTGTGCCACAGCACCCTGCTAGAACCCAGAAGCAGATTCACTGTGCACTGGTCACTAACTTGTCCAAATTCCATGAGACAAAACACACACACACACACACACACACACACACACACTACATAAAGTGGGTGTATTACTTATAGATAGGCAACAAGGGACAATAGAAGCCTTGGATTCATTTCAAGCCAGTTGCCCCAAGGCTCAGAAAAGTTTCCTGGTGTGAATGGAGTCTCATCTGTGTGTGCCCTGCTTGCACTGGACTTGAAGGGCCCTGGAAGCCAGCCTACCCTTGGTGACCATGTGCCATATTGGACTAAAGCATTGAAAGAAGTCTTCTTTAGGGTGAGGGGAAGGGGACAAGAGGTACTAGAACAGAGCCTGAGCTGTTCTGACCAGTTCCCCCTTATCTTAGTAGTTGTACTTCCAGCACATTCTACAGTTATTCTTGAGAATTGCAAGCTATCACCTGTTCACTGTCTCTCCTGCACACACCATCTCTGACTGTCCTGGGTTGGCCTGATCTAGAGATTACAGCCTACTCTCATGGCCAAGCCAATCCCTCCGGGACTTTCTGCTCCTTCAAGATCCAGCCCAAGTGTCCTCTCCTCCCTCAGGGACTTCCATGGCTCTTATAACAGAGGCCCTCCCTGCACTTCACACACTGGCCTGGCGTCCAGCAGGCATTGCATTAATTGTGCTGCCTGTCTTCACCTGTTYGTTGACTTCTCCCGATCTTCTGCACCTAGATGTCCTCAGCGCCCAGCTCTGAGACAGGAACATGAAATGTGAAGGAAGTGATGGGACAAACTAAGCTCCTGGATGGGTCAGGGAACTTGCCCTGGTATAGGGTACCAAAAGAYGCGCCCCGCGTTCTTGGGAGAGGAACAGGAGGCTGAGATGAGCGCATCAGTGTCCGGCAGGTGGCGCCGAAGATCCGAGGCCTTCCGAGGCGGCGCGAGGTCACGCAGCTTCTCTTCCTTCCGCCTGGGCAGCACACGCGACCCTGCTCTGCGTACACCCGTGCGCCCTGGGCMCGATCCCAGTCCCCACTGCGCTGTGCGCCATGGTTCTCCCCGCGGCCCGGGCCCGCGGCTTGGTGGCAGCAGCCAAAGCGGCCCAGAGGCGCCGCCGGGTGGACAGTGGGGGAGGGTCCCCAAGTCCTGAGCCCGCGAGCAGGCGCGCTGCGGTTTACGTGCACGTGAGTGGCCGGCGGGAGGGCAGAGTTCTGGCGTACCAGAACCAGGTGGCGTTTGTCACGCGGTGGACCTGCCTGCTGTCTTTCCCCGCCCCCAGACGAGGTCTCCGATAGGACCTGGTGCCCTGGCAGGGAAATGTCAAGGTCAGGGTAGTCACCAGCTCTGTGACCTTTACYTTCCAAGCCTCAGTTTTCTCATGCTAAAGTGGGGATAATAATCCCAGGGCGACCTGCTTTGGGAGTGGTGGTTTAGATGTCCTAGCCACTGTTGACCGACCTCGGAATGAGGATGGGAATGTTGGCTATGAACCCAGGAAGCGCCCAGGGTGCCCAGAGTCACGCCTCACCCTGCACATACACCCTCTGCCCGCAGTGGCCGTATTGTGAGAAGCGATGCAGTTACTGTAACTTCAATAAATACATCCCTCGCGGCGTGGAGGAGGCTGCCATGCGGAACTGTCTGGTCACTGAGGTGCGGACGCTGCTGCGGCTCAGCGGGGTGCAACGGTCTGTACTGGGGACTGTAGCCGGGGGTCTTGGAGAGGAAGACGGGTGCAGAGCATGCCACAGGCCTCTCCCGGTGTCATCTTCTCCATCATCTTTCCCCAGGGTAGAGTCTGTGTTCTTTGGTGGGGGAACCCCCAGTCTGGCCAGTCCCCATACTGTGGCTGCTGTTCTGGAGGCTGTGGCACAGATAGCTCACCTGCCTGCAGACTCGGAAGTCACGCTGGAGGCTAATCCCATTTCGTCCCCAGCCTCGAGGCTGGCAGAATTTGGAGCAGCAGGAGTCAACAGGTTGTCCATTGGCMTCCAGGTAACCCATCTCACCCACCCCCTCCCAGTGCACCCAGACCTTCAGGGCTGTCTCCCCTTTGGTGTCACTTATTCATTGGGCAAACATTTCTGGGTGTGAGAGCTCAATAACAGTAGAGCCCATGATGACACTTTTCCCCCCAGTAATGGGATTGGACCCTGAGCTTTGAATATGCTAGGCAAGTGCTCTACTCTGAGCACATTCCCAGCCCTTGTGATGACACTTAGTCATCTGCTGTTCTACTGGGATGTAAGCTTCATGAGGTAGGCCTCTGGCATGCCTTTTTGTACACTAAGCACCACCATAGGGCCTGGAACATAGTAGGTACTCAGAAATGAGGTATTACATGATTGGAGATGTGGGGAAGCAGACACATGATCAGATCACTGCAGCATGAAAATATGTCTATAAAGGGGCCTCTCAGAGTACCACTTGGAGGGCACCTTAGTCTAACGAAATCACAGAAGGCTTCCTGAAGGAGATAATGTTTGAGAAAAGGGAGGAGTTCACCAGGTGAGAGGGTGTGGGAGGAAGAGACATAGGATATGGAGGAGACCTGCATGTTTTGGGGGAGCTGTGAATCATTCCTTGTGACCAGAGAGACTATAGAGACAGGACTGCACATATGGTCTGAAAGCTCTTAGCCACTTCTGAAGGAGTTTGGGTTTCTTCCTAGTGGTGATCGGGGAGCCACCGAAGGTTCTCAAGTAGGGAGAAGCCTTTCTTCTAGGTTCACCGCTGATGWTTCCATAGCCAGTCTTGCCCACCTTCAACACTACCACTTCCATTGAACCACTTCTCCTAGGGTCATGGGCTTTGTCTTGTTTGGATAAACTGAAAGAGACACACAATTCTGAGACATTTCTGCCCCAAATGTATATCTTGAAACTAATTTTGAGGAAACATCAGGTAAATTAAGACTGGGGATGCTTCTCAGTGCTAAAGGATTTGCTTAGCATACTTGAAACCCTGGGTTTCATCCTCAACACAGAGGTGGGGGGACAGAGAGAATGAATTAATATAAGAAGCCAGATTGGTGGCAGGGCACACCTGGAATCCCAGGGACCTGGGAAGCTGAGGCAGGAGGATTACAAGTTCAAGGTCAGCCTCAGCAACTTAGCAAGGTCCTTAGGCAACTTAGTGAGACCCTGTCTCAAAACAAAACATCAAAAGGGCAGGGATGTGACTTAGTGGTTAAGCACCCCTGGATTCAACTCCTTGTGGAAAAAAAAAATAATAATGTAAGAACAGGCAGTATGAGATCTGCCCTCCTAAACAGTTTTGTGTGTCAGTATAGTATTATTAACTGTAAGCACACTGTTGTACAGCTGATCTCCAGCATTCACACATTAAGAGACAGTTTTTTAAAAAWTTTTTTAGGGGCTGGGGTTGTGGCTCAGCAGTAGAGTGCTCGCCTAGCACGTGMAAGACCCTGGGTTCGATCCTCAGCATCACATAAAAATAAATAAAACAAAGATATTGTGTCCAACTACAACTGGGAAATGAATATTAAAAAATATTTTTTTAGTTGTCAATGGACCTTTATTTTATTTATATACGGTGCTGAGAATTGAACCCAGTGCTTCACACATGCTAGCTAGGCAAGCACTGTACACCGAGCCACAACCCCAGCCCAAGAGACATTTTCAAAAGCAACTGGCTTGTACTCTTTGAAAATGTCAATGTCATGAAAGGCTGAGAATATGGACTAGATTAAAGGAGGCTAAAGAGACAATGACAGCCGAATGCCAGGGGTGACCCTTGGTTGTAAAAGAGGAAATTACTATAGTAGACATTACTGGGACAGTTGGCCAAATTTGAATATGACTACTTATTAGATAATGGTGTTGTATCTGTGTTACATTTCCTGAATTCCATAATTGGATTGTGGTTATGTAAGAGAGTGTCCTTGTCCTTAGGAAATACACATTTCAGGATTTAAAAATTAAGAGATATAATACCTGTAACTCTACTGTCCAGCATACCAGCCACAAGCCACATGCTAGTGGAGAACTTGAAATGTGACTATTTAAATCAACTTACATGTGTCTGGTGTCTACTGTATTGAACAGTGCAGCTATAAAAAATTTCCATCATCACAGAAAGTTCTGGGCAGTGCTTATCTATGATTTGCTCTCAACATAATAACAATAATTTGCACATTTAGAGAGAGACAAAGTAGCTGGTCAGATGTTGCTGGTGAGTCTAGATGGAAGTTGTACCTTTCAACTTTCCTATAAGTTATTTCAAAATAAAAAGTAAAGGAAGAAAAGATTCTTGATTTTGGAGCCAGTCCTGACTTTGCAGTTATATGTCCTCAAGATAAGTTACTTAACATTTCTGAACCTCAGCTTTCTTATCTGTAAAATGGAGCTAATATTGGAGGATTTTAAGGATTACATTGCCTTTCAGTGTATAGTAGTTCTAGGTACTGACTTGACTGTTCCCTACCTTCCCCATCTTCCCACTCCCTGATAGGTACTGGTTTCCCCCATATTCATTTCTACAATGCTGTGTTTGTGGCATTGCTGTCTCTCTCTGAGCTGGCCAGCATACTAACAGCTGACTATCTCTTTCCAGTCTCTAGACGACACTGAGCTGCAGTTGCTGGGGCGGACACACTCGACCAGCAGTGCTCTGCGGACGCTGGCAGAAGCCCGGCGCCTCTTCCCTGGCCGCGTGTCCGTGGACTTGATGCTGGGGCTGCCGGCACAGCAGGTGGGGCCATGGCTCCGGCAGCTGCAGGAACTGCTGCACCACTGTGACGACCATCTCTCCCTCTACCAGCTGTCCCTGGAGCGGGGCACTGCACTCTTCGCCCAGGTGCAGCGGGGTGTTCTTCCTGCCCCTGACCCAGAGCTCGCCGCTGAGATGTACCAGGAGGGTCGGGCGCTGCTCCGGGAGGCTGGCTTCCGCCAGTACGAGGTCTCCAACTTTGCCAGGAAYGTGAGTCCTGGGGCTGTTGGCTGGAGGTGTGGAATGGCACGCTGCGTATAACTAGGTAACTCGGGCCTCTGAGGAGAAGGGCCCTGCTGGGTGCTCTCTGACCCCAGATGGTGGAACAATCTAACCAGGTGCCCCGTCCCTGAACACAAACAGCACAAACGGGGAAACCTCCTTCCTCTGCGCTGACTATTCCCTTCTTCCCCACAGGGGGCGCTCAGTACCCACAATTGGACTTACTGGCAGTGCGGTCAATACCTTGGCATTGGGCCCGGTAAGTCCCCTGTGAGCAACAGAAGGGATGACTTAGCAGAGGAATGTCATGGCTGTGTGAACTTGGGCCACTTACTTAACCTCTCCAAGCCTGAATTTCCTCACATGTAAAATGCAGCTAACGATAATATCTACTGTGTAGAACTGTTGAGGATGTATTGTAAGGTGTTTGATTTACTGCTGTGTTTCTGGGTCTTCAGTGTGTGTCAGTCCCCTGCAGGGCTTGTTAAAATCCAGAATGCTGGGCCACTCCTCCAGAAATTCTGATTGATCCGGGCTGGTTTAGRCCTGAGGGTTTATATTTCTAGCATATTAGATGCTCTTGGTCCAGGGACCAGACTTTGAGAACTACTGATGTAAATCTGATAAGAACACATTGTTAGCTCATTAATGTGGRGTTCATTGTTGATGTTGTTAGGGGCCCATGGGCGATTTACGCTTCAGGGGGCTGGAGGCCATGCCCGGGAGGCTCGGATCCAGACACTGGAACCAGACAACTGGATGAAGGAAGTGATGCTGTTTGGTCATGGCACCCGGAAGCGTATCCCCCTGGGCAAACTGGAGCTGTGAGCATCTGAGGGCAGAGGGCTCTTTACCCAAAGTTCCCCACACCCCAGAAGCATCTCCACATGTACTTCTTTATGTCCTGCCTTGCCCTCCCCATAGTCCCCAACACATCCCAGCATCAGTGTTAGAGTGGGAGAGGAAAGGCCCCCTCTCCAAGGTTCCTCAATGACTTCTCTTTCAGGCTGGAGGAGGTTTTGGCCATGGGGCTACGCACTGAYGTGGGGCTCACCCACCAGGTATGGAATAAGGTTTTTGTGTACTGTTTCCTCTTCTTAAGCCTTACAGAGTCAGCCTCTTTCTCCTCCTGTTCGCCGCTGTACATACACACACACACACAGAGAAAACACCACAAAACACACCCCTACTATACCTCTGGGGTTGACAGCCAGAGGTTGGGCCGTGGTCCAGCTGAGGCCTGACGGGCAGATGCTGTAGGTAGTGTGGTACAGTGGTAAGAACCCGGGACTTGGGCTGGAGAGATCCAGCGCTGGCCCCTATTCTACTGAAATCTAGGGCACATTGCCTTTCCACTCTCAGAACCTTGATTTTCTCAGCTATGTGAGGGAATAGATGAGATAAGGGGTTTCCATGTGTTTTTAAGCAGAGCTGAAACCTCAGATAGGAAGCACAATAGATAATGATCGATTAGACTCAGAGCTGCTTTAGATGTCGTCAAGTCCCTAAAACCTGAGGCTGCTGTACCCTGGCAGGCTGAGGAGAGAGAGGAGGAGCAGATGGAGACCTGGCGTGGCTGGGATCTGGGCTTCCACCTGAACGTGCCACAGGGGTGATAGTGCCCACCTCTGCACCTACCCATTGACCTGTCCTGGTGTTTATGAGTATCAGCTGCTGAAACCCCCATGCTAGACTGGATCCTCCCTCACCTCTCACCCCTGCCATGAGGCCCAGAGTAGTTCAGCTGGCTCATCACTTCAAACCTTTGGTTTCCCAGCACTGGCAGCAATTTGAGCCCCCGTTGACCCTGTGGGACATTTTTGGAGCAAACAAGGAAGTAAAGGAATTACTGGAGCAGGACCTATTGCTGCTGGACCACAGGTGTGTTGGGGCAGTGGGCAGAGGGGACGTAGGTGTTCCCAAGATCCCTGACTACAGATCCAGAGACCAGGAAGTGAGAGATACTGGTGAGGATGGGCCTGTGGGTGCTGGGGCTTGGCACAGGTCGGGATAGCATTGAAACTGGTAAGATGAAGCCGTCACATCCAGGCTTCTTGGTTTTCCAGGGGTCTCCGGTGTTCCTGGCAGGGTCTGGCTGTGTTGGATTCTCTACTGCTGACCCTCCTGCCTCGACTCCAAGAGGCTTGGCACCAGACAACCCCATCACCTGCACCAGGAGGATGAGAAGATGTTCCTGTATCCCAGGGCAATGCCAGGTGGACTTGGGGGTCTGGACCAGCACTACAGGCATCTCTGCTGGCAGGTGCTATCTCTGCTCCAAGTGGTCATTGCCTGGCCCTGGGATCCCTAGGGTTTGGCTACAGTGAGGTGGGTGGGAGGATATTTGGCTGGGAACTGGCATCCCACCCGGCTTTTCAGACTCACCAGTGTATGTTCCTTGACTGGGAATTGTTCATCGCCCATAACAGCTTTTTTTTTTTTTTTTTTTTTTTTTTCTTTCTTCGGTGTTGGGGATTGAACCCAGGGATGCTTAACAACTGAGCCACATCCCCAGGCCTTTATATTTATTTTGAGTCAGGGTCTCACTAAGTTGCTAAGACTTGAACTTGTGATTCTCCTGCCTCAGCCTCCCAAGCTGCTGGGATTACAGGTATGCACCAGTGCACCTGGATGTTTACATTTTTGGTATCAAATAATGACCAGTGTTTGGAAATCTTTCTGTAGGCAGTTGCCTCCCTAAGACGCCTTCCCCTGTTGTGAGGTCCTGAGCAGCTGTATGAATCAGATCCTTTCCAGGTATCTTAAACAGGAAGGGATTTAATATAGGTATGAGACATYTAGRAAACCACTGGGTTTTTTAGAGTCAAGGCCACTTGTCCCATAGAATGTCCCACATTCTGGGTATGCCTGATTGTTTCCTAAGGACTGAATTCAGGTTGAATATTTTTAGCAATACTGATACTCGGTGTTGTGTAACTCAGGGTCCCTAATGCTAGGCCAACCCACTATCAGTAATGCTAATTTTGACCACTTAATTAAGGGGATGGATATTCTGTTTCTCCCATGGATAGATATAGTTTTCCTTGAAATTAAATAACACAACAGATGATGTGTGATATCTTGAGACCAATTGAATATCCTGTTCTCCAATAATCACTTGCTCAGTGATTTTGGCATCTACTGATGATCCTTGCCCAAATCAGTTCTTAATTTGGAAGTTGCAAAATGTTAATCTCTGACTGTCATTCTTTCTACATTCTTTATCCATTAAAAAAAAAAAACAACAAACTTTCCATTTTAGTCAAAGGGCTAATCCTCCTTCTGACCTGGAAATTGGTACCAGATGTGAGTGTGTGTGCCTATGTTTGGTGGGGTTGGAGGTGCATTTTCCTRGCAAGAAGCCACATAACTTTTGAGGGGATTGGGGGGAGACTAGGGATTTARTCCAGGGATAATTTACTACTGAGCTATATCACCAGCCCTTTTATGTTTTGAGACAGGGTCTCACCAAGTTGCTTAGGGCCTGACAAAGTTGCTGAGGCTGGCCTTGAACCTGTGATCCTCCTGTCTCAGCCTCCTGAGCCACTGGGATTATAGGCATGCACCACCATGCCCAGTTAGGAAGCTCTGTAACTTTAATTCATTACCATGTCAGAGGATACCATGATTGAGGCATATAGACTTGGCCTTTAGGAGGTGATGGGGGATTGGGTTCCCCGCCTCTCAGAGGTGAGCACATGCCTTTCCCTGTACTCAGTGRGTGTGAATGTCAGGTCTTCTCTGACCCTGTGGTAACATGGTAAGCATCACTCCCTCTCTTTTTCATCATGAAATATTCAGCTGGCACTAGTTGTGTGCCAGGCCTTGTACCAGACTCACAGAGAAGAAGAAGACCTGCCTCACCCCTTAGGGAACTGGCTGTCATGTTGACAGATGTGGAAGAGATTCTTCCCAGGTTGTCAGTCAAGGCACCATGGCAGGCTGTGGGAGCCTGAGGCATCACTTGGTTCTGAAGGGCTGGGAGCAAGAAAAGGTGTTTTTTTCTTACCACCTCCTGTGCCCCTACTGCCCTGGAAAGCCTGGCCTTGGCACAGCTTGTAGGGTGACCTGTGCTGCCCAGAGACACCTCTTCCTGAGCCTTCCCCTGATCTTGATATTCAAGAAGTGAGCATGGGTGTGCCATCAGATAACCTGGGCCCACTCAGGTTTCTCCCAGCTGCCAGGGCTCGTGCCACCTGAGATGTCTGGGCACTGCATGCTGGGCACCTCACGAGACCTGTTCCGAGGGCTGGGCACAAGCCACGAACAGGTAGGGGTGGCACAGATCACCTTCTGTGACTCAGCCTGGTCCCACCCTCACCTTATGAATCAGAATCTCCGGAGAGCAGCGCCCAGGAATCTAGTTGTTAAATGCTTCCTAAATGACTCCAGTGACCAGTTGGGTTGGGGAAGCCCCGATGAGTGACGTTTCCCACCTTCCATCGTGGGAGGCTGGGGTTGGGACGAAAGAGGTACCCCGAGACATGCATGGGAGTGGGGTCCTTCTCTCCACATCCTGGTTCTTCCATGGCTCATCCATCAAAGGGGTCCTGCTCCTCCCTATTGGGACTCTGATCGTCATCTTCTCACCYGCCTTATGTGGGCAGAAGTAAAAGGGGTAAACCGCCTGCTTTGGTAATAAGGTGATGAGAGAAGTTGGAGACAAGCGGTACATGTAGTCACATGTACTGTGGGTACAGCTTGAAGGACCAAGCATTCCACCTGCAAAGGAGAGCACTGACAATTTTAAAGCCTCCATGTGAGCCCCACCCCCTCCCCCAGGGAGTGTGATGTAGGCAGGACAGCTGTTTCAATTTCCATTTCACAGACGGGAACATTCAAAGAGGTTCTCTAACTTGACTCAAGTCTGGAAAATGCAGTCACGTGTCACTTACCSATGGAGATGTGTTCTGAGAAGGGTGCTGTGCGATGGTTCATTGTTTTGTGAATACTGAGAATCTACTTTCACAAACTAAGGAAACTATATACTGAGGTCCATCATTGACCAAAACATTATTCTGGAGTAAGTTGCAGACCTGGTTTAATACTTCTGGACATCCAGAACTTTCTGTTAAATTCAGAACTTTCTGCTTCACCATCATTTTATACTTACTATGGATCCAGGTCAATTCGGCCATCCATCCATTTAATAAATCCTAAAAATTCTTTTTTTCCTTCCTTCTTTCCTGTTCTGGGGATTAAACCCAGGGGCTTGCACATGCTAGGCAAGCATTCTGGTACTTCCGAAGTTGCCCAGATTGGCCTTGAACTTGCAATCCTCCTGCCTTAGCCTCCCAAGAAGTTGGGATTACAGGTGTGCACCACCACACCTGGCTGGCATGCCTTTTAAATTAGGCCAAATCCTAACCTCTTTCTGGTTTCTTTGTCTCATGTTTGAAGCTGCCATCTCTGCCTGGTACTGGTAGCTTGGGCTCAATGTCCAAACAGTTATGCCTTGGTATCTGCAGGGGCATTGGTTCTAGGACCCCCTCAGATGCCAAAATCTGAGAATGCTCAAGTCCCTTATGTCAAATGGTGTGGTATTTGCATATAACCTATGCATATCCTCCTGTATATTTTTAATCATCTCTAAATTATTTATAATACTTAATACAGTAGAAATGCCAATATAAATGGTTGTTCGTATTGGTCAGGGAATAATAAGAAATGAAAGTCTGCACATTTGGTCAGATGCGAAAAAAATATTTACTCCAATATTTTCCATTGCCAGTTGGTCAGAGCTGAGATGCAGAACCCGTGGATACAGTAGCCACTGTACTCCCCTCTCCTGGAGCAGTTCATTGTTACCCAGGCCCTATCTCTGTGACTAGACCTGCATTCTCTTCCTACCTGATTCTGCAGAGAAAAGAAGGTCAAGTAATCAGATGAAATAACTTAGGTGGTAGATTGCATTATTGTTCAAARTGTTTGCTACCCTCCTCAGAGTGCCCTCCCTGAGGCCTATGGGAGGATCATAAAATTCCTGCACCATCATCATCATCATCATCATTATCATTATTTCGGAAACAGAAATTGAACCTAGGGGCACTTAATCACTGAGCCACATCTCCAGTCCTTTTTAAACAAACAAACAACAACAACAACAAAAAAAAAAAATACACATTTTTTTCTGAAAAAACATTTTCCCTGAGGCAGAGAAACCAGAAAAGGTTTAGGATTTGGCCTAATTTAAGGAAGGGGAGTTGCTGAGGCTGGCTTTGAATTCCTCATCCCCCTGCCTCAGCCTCTGGAGCTACTGGGATCACAGGCTTGTGCCACTGTGACCTGCACCTGCCTTACTGAACCCAGAAAGGGCCATGAGACTAGCTCAGCCCTGGTTGTCAAAGCTGGTGGGTGGTCCACCATCTATCTTGTGCTTTTGTCACAGTGACCTGCAGTGTTCAGTTTTATCAAAGACAGTTTTATCAACCTGGGTTCCAGAGTGAAGAAAATGGGCAGAGGGGCTGGGGATRTGGCTCAAGCGGTAGCGCGCTCGCCTGGCATGCGTGCGGCCCGGGTTCGATCCTCAACACCACATACAAAACAAAGATGTTGTGTCTGCCGATAACTAAAAAATAAATATTAAAACTCTCTCTCTCTCTCTCTCACTCTCTCTTTAAAAAAAAAAAAGAAAATGGGCAGAGGAGCAACCAGCCACAATAGACATGAGATGGAGAGGGAAATGAACATTTGTTAATTTATTAGATAACGCAAGAAGGCTCCAAAGCAAGACATATATAGTATCCCATTTTTGTAAACTCATATACCTAAGTATGTTCATTTCTGCAAAGATACACAACCAGAATTCTAACATTTGTTAATTTACATGTGTTAATTTCTACATTCTTCTGTTGTAAACCAGTAGATTTTTCAGTTTATTACCGCAGCATAACTAAAACTAAATTGATACAGTGACAGGATTCCATCATTCAAAGATTAACTACTGTTAAAATTCTAGTGCGTAGCTCTGCAGAAATTCTTCTATGCAAATGAACATACTTAGATATTCAATCCTACAAAAATTATATATATATACACACACACACACACACACACACACACGTTTGCTTTGGGGCCTTCTTGTAGACATCTTTCTATGTCAGGTTTTTTTTTTTTTTTTTTTTAATGGTCCTGGGGATTGAACCCAGGGCCTTGTGCATGTGGCAAGCGCTCTACCAACTGAGCTGTATCTCCAGTCTCTTTCTACTTCAGTTTTATTTCTGTGTCCTATTTTTAGTATGGATCCATAGTGTACCCACTGCAAAGTAATGCCAAAAAATCTAGTTCTGCAATTCCTTTTCTAAGATATGGGGTCTCATTTTTTATAATTATAAACTGTGCAGTGATCATCTTACATAAATAGTTTGATGTATTTGTTGGATCATTTCCTTAGGTTCAGGATAAATCCAAGAGGCAGAAGTGC